AATGAACTGGGTCCAGGTTTAGTCATACTTAAAGTAGAATAACTGAGATCAGTGAGACTTCAGCTAATCAAGGTATCAATGGATTTGCTCCCAGCATAATTAAACCTGTATCCAACCTAATGCATATTAAAAATAGATACTTCTGTTTTCAAGCTTTTACTTTGCAATAATCAACAAGTAATAATTTATTTTCCTTTGCATTCTAAAATAAAATTAGTTATGTTGCCTGTTCTACCATTATCTCCTGGTGAACTCAAATTATACAATGAGATTAATCAGTAAAACGTAGCTAAACTAAGCTTTATTAGCAGATTTTTTTTAACCTGTACCCAGCACATACAGGTGCAAAAGTATACTGATCTAAGCTAGAAATATAGGAATTTGATTTATGAATGTCTGAAAATAGTATTTGAAATCCTCCATAGTTTTTGTATTCTTTCTTTATATTAAAGTTTGAAATTTTAGGTCTTTTCTATTTCCTGCATACCCCAGGTCCTTATGTGAAAATATTAATTCACTATTATTTTTACAATTAGGTGCTACCAAATACACAGTACACAAACACTGAAAAGGACACTTCCCAATCTTAAGGAGTTTTGCAAAAAACAAAACACTTGACCCTTCAATTTTGCAGGGAATATATTTTAAAGAGTTGCATTGGCAGCAGGGGAAAAAAAAGCTCAATTATGAATTGACAATCTTGCAGCAACCAAAGGCAAACTGTAAGTATAAAGACCCATTAAATGCATCCACACAACATATTACATTTTACTAGTTTTAACTTGGGTGGGGAAGGGAGGTCCCTGTGTTAATGTTGTTAATGTTAATTGCAATATGCTAATCCAGGCAAACGGGTTTATTTATAACAAAGTTAGCTATCTTGCACAAACTTTCATAAGATCTCATAAGTACCCAATGAATAAATGCAGTAAGACTCCAGATAGGAATAGAAGCGCTGAACTCAAAATACAAACCACTCATCCAACTCCCCGACAGAAACCCAAGGGAAAATCCATTATGAAAGAACTCGCTACTGTTCTTTGCTATTTCTTTCCAGGCTCTAAAGCAGTGTTTCTCAACCTTGGCGACTTTTAAGCATAGCTGGCTGGGGAATTCTGGGAGTTGAAGTCCACAGGACTTAAAAGTCGCCAAGGTTGAGACTGCTTTAAAGGTAGCCTGCTCTCTTTCGGGGAGGCTCCACCGTCAGCAGCCACCACACCGGGAGTCAAGGACTGCCTTGTGAGATGCAACGGCTGCAAAAGCCTTGTGGGACGGGCTCCAAATCCCTCGGGGGGGAGGAAGGATATCAGGGCAGCTGCCGAGAGGGAGGGTCAGCCCCCCCCCAAGTTCTGCTGCAAGGGAGGTCGGTTCCCTCCGGACACCGTTCGCAGCTCCCCACCTTCCAGCGTCACTGCTGGAATGTTCTGCGGGGGCCCGGAGGGCTGCTTTCCCGGCGACCCTCGTCCATCTTTCCGCCGGAGCCCCTCGGCCGCCTTTTTTTTCTCAGAGAGCCCGCCGGGAGGCCTACGCGCGCACAGCCGGCGGAGAGGCTCCCTTCGCGCGCCGCCGTCAGGCCCCGCCCCTCCCGTGTGTGTATGTGTGTGACGCGGGAGACCCGAAGGCGCCAAGCCGCGCGAGCGCCTGCCCCTCCCCCCACGCCCGCCCGCGCGCTTCCCAGGCCTCACCACGTCGATGTGGGCGAAGCCGGTGAGCACCAGGTCCTTGAGGAGCTCGCAGCCGATGCCGCCGGCGCCCACCACCAGCACCCGCGCGGAAGCCACGGCCTGGGCCAGCTCCCCCTGCAGGGCCAGGGCCGCCGCCATCCCAGCACTGAAGAAGCGGGCGGGAAAAAGGGACGGCGAGGGACTCCAGCCAGGCGCCGCGCATGCGCCGCTCCTCAGGCCGCCTCCGGCGACCGTCACCGTAGAGCGGGAAGCGTACTCCCAGAGCGGCCGCGGTCCTCGCAGCGCGGCTGCCCCTAGCGGCCGCAGGCGGCGTGTCTCCCTTCGCCCTTCGCCGCCTCTCTGCCCCGGCTGCCCGCAGCGCGAAGAAGGGCGGCCGGCTGGAGGGGCCCCGCGCTGTTTCACGCCAACCGGCCGGAAGGCTCGGCAGCAGGAGGCCTGCCCGCTCGCCCGGCCTCTTCTCCGTCTCCAGCCGAGCTTTGGAAGCCGCAGAGGCTCAGACGGCATCCGTCGGAGAAGCCGCCCCCGTCCGATGCCCGGGCAGGTCTCCTCCCTGAAGGCTGCAAGGCGGCATCGGCTCCGGGTAGCTGCATCGCAAGGCTTCCTCCAGCTCCCGCCGCCGCCGCTCCCTTTGTCGCAGCGCTCTCGGCCCAGGAGCCCGCGGGCGCCCCTCCGCCGCAGCCGCCCAGGCTGGAGACGCTGCTGGGAAGGTCCCGGCAGGCGGGGGGGGGGGGGGCAGGGGGGGCAGCTCCGAAGGCGGCCGACTCCTCCGCCAGGCGGCCGTTTGGGAGGGGGTGCAAAGCCGCATGCCCCCCCCCCCTCCCTCCCAAAGGGAAGCGATCCAGGCAGGAGCAGCGGCGCTTTCCCCCCGGGGAAGCCTGGAGTCCTTGGAGGTTGCCGAAGGCAGCGCAGTTTCTGGCGGCTTCTCCTCCGGCGAGAGAAGGGAAGCTTCGATCGAGGTTTATTATAGCCGCTGCCTCTGTTTCAATGCCCTCCGGGTAGTT